TGAGGCGAGTCGCACTGGTAACCACATTTTTTCTAGTCGTGTAATAATTGTGATTTCAATCCCTTGGTAAATGACGATGTAACCAAACACAGTGGAAACAGGGTGAGTAAAAATTAAGCAGTATCAAAACAATTATTTCTACTTTTTCCGCAGTGTCCTTTCAGAAGTTAATAGATAATGTCTCTCCACAATTTCCTGTTCTTCGTAGCTCTCAATAATTTTTGTCTTTTTTTTATTTCTCCTAAACCTTCAATATTTGTCTATATTACTAAGATGAGGTATTATGTACACTATTTACATTATTCGGACAATTGTCCTCATCTTTGTCATCATATTTATTACAATGTTTCGGCTTTTCAGTATCTGTCTATATTTCTAAGATGAGGTATTATGTACACTATTTCCATTATTCAGACTATTGTCCTCATCTTTGTCATCATATTTATTACAATGTTTCGGCTTTTCAGTATCTGTCTATATTTCTAAGATGAGGTATTATGTACACTATTTACATTATTCAGACTATTGTCCTCATCTTTGTCATCATATTTATTACAATGTTTCGGCTTTTCAGTATCTGTCTATATTTCTGAGATGAGGTATTATGTACACTATTTACATTATTCAGACTATTGTCCTCATCTTTGTCATCATATTTATTACAATGTTTCGGCTTTTCAGTATCTGTCTATATTTCTAAGATGAGGTATTATGTACACTATTTCCATTATTCAGACTATTGTCCTCATCTTTGTCATCATATTTATTACAATGATTCGGATTTTCAGTATCTGTCTATATTTCTGAGATGAGGTATTATGTACACTATTTCCATTATTCAGACTATTGTCCTCATCTTTGTCATCATATTTATTACAATGTTTCGGCTTTTCAGTATCTGTCTATATTTCTGAGATGAGGTATTATGTACACTATTTACATTATTCAGACTATTGTCCTCATTTTTGTCATCATATTTATTACAATGTTTCGGCTTTTCAGTATCTGTCTATATTTCTGAGATGAGGTATTATGTACACTATTTACATTATTCAGACTATTGTCCTCATCTTTGTCATCATATTTATTACAATGTTTCGGCTTTTCAGTATCTGTCTATATTTCTAAGATGAGGTATTATGTACACTATTTCCATTATTCAGACTATTGTCCTCATCTTTGTCATCATATTTATTACAATGTTTCGGATTTTCAGTATCTGTCTATATTTCTGAGATGAGGTATTATGTACACTATTTACATTATTCGGACTATTGTCCTCATCTTTGTCATCATATTTATTACAATGTTTCGGCCTTTCATTATCTGTCTAAATTTCTAAGATGAGGTATTATGTACACTATTTCCATTATTCAGACTATTGTCCTCATCTTTGTCATCATATTTATTACAATGTTTCGGCTTTTCAGTATCTGTCTATATTTCTGATATGAGGTTTTATGTACACTATTTACATTATTCGGACTATTGTCCTCATCTTTGTCATCATATTTATTACAATGTTTCGGCCTTTCATTATCTGTCTAAATTTCTAAGATGAGGTATTATGTACACTATTTCCATTATTCAGACTATTGTCCTCATCTTTGTCATCATATTTATTACAATGTTTCGGCTTTTCAGTATCTGTCTATATTTCTAAGATGAGGTATTATGTACACTATTTACATTATTCAGACTATTGTCCTCATCTTTGTCATCATATTTATTACAATGTTTCGGCTTTTCAGTATCTGTCTATATTTCTGAGATGAGGTATTATGTACACTATTTACATTATTCAGACTATTGTCCTCATCTTTTGTCATCATATTTATTACAATGTTTCGGCTTTTCAGTATCTGTCTATATTTCTGAGATGAGGTATTATGTACACTATTTACATTATTCAGACTATTGTCCTCATCTTTGTCATCATATTTATTACAATGTTTCGGCTTTTCAGTATCTGTCTATATTTCTAAGATGAGGTATTATGTACACTATTTCCATTATTCAGACTATTGTCCTCATCTTTGTCATCATATTTATTACAATGTTTCGGATTTTCAGTATCTGTCTATATTTCTGAGATGAGGTATTATGTACACTATTTACATTATTCAGACTATTGTCCTCATCTTTGTCATCATATTTATTACAATGTTTCGGCTTTTCAGTATCTGTCTATATTTCTGAGATGAGGTATTATGTACACTATTTACATTATTCAGACTATTGTCCTCATCTTTGTCATCATATTTATTACAATGTTTCGGCTTTTCAGTATCTGTCTATATTTCTGAGATGAGGTATTATGTACACTATTTACATTATTCAGACTATTGTCCTCATCTTTGTCATCATATTTATTACAATGTTTCGGCTTTTCAGTATCTGTCTATATTTCTAAGATGAGGTATTATGTACACTATTTCCATTATTCAGACTATTGTCCTCATCTTTGTCATCATATTTATTACAATGTTTCGGATTTTCA